GGTACAATCTCTGGGGGAAAATCCACAGATTTCCAGAGCAGAAGGGTTTACACAACACAACAAGATTAATAGGGGGATGGAAACATATTTATGAGACCTAGATCTATAGATGGGTAAAAAAAGAGAAAAAACAATTTTGAAGAACCAAATCCTTTCTCATGTCCCTTAGGATCTTGTGAATATACCCAAAATCTTATCTGTCCTTTTCTAACTCTCAGTTCCAACTCACAAAAAAATTCTCTCCCTGTAAATTTTGTCCCACTGACATCCTTAGGTCACCAGCACTATAACAGTAGTAGTGTCATGTCAGACATTCTGACATGAAGAGTTCCTTCACTATTTCTGTCCATCTCCAGGCTTCTGTGTGAAGACACAGTCCTCACACAGGTCAGCACTGTGAATGTCATCCCTCTCCAGTAGCAGCCAGGCTCATCCAAGGTGGGAGTCCAGCCACCCAGAAGAACCACTGAGCCACTTCACCTGAGATGCTTGCACATAACCTTTGGGCAGCCAGGAACAGCTCTGATATATGGGTCTCCTCGAGCCAGGTCTTATGGAGACCCATATCACACCCAAGCTAGCTTGGCTACCTCAGAAAGCATAAAATCAGCAGGATGGCTTCGGTGGTGGTGTTGGAAACAGAAAAGTTTTAAAAAAAGGCAAATTAACAAAACTTTTTACAGAGAAAAACTGAGCCAGATGTAAGAGGTTCTTGCTCCTGGTAAAACACCTCACAAAAGTGATTAGTTTCTTTGTTCTCTTCTTTTTGTAGTAAATTGTTTAGGCAGGACTTTTTGGCTCCTGTCCAATTGGGTGTCCTTAAGTCTGAGGTGAAGTTCCCCAGGTCCCATGAGGTGTCTTTTTACCTAATCGAGGAGAGAAACTTCTGGGCCTTTTTCCTTTTTAAGTTGACAAAGGATAGTTTTGTCACTCTGTCAACAGAGGGCACATTCCCACACATCTCTTTTAATTTAGTTTATTTAGTACTTAGCTCTATGGCAGCCATGGGTCTGCCCACAGGAATGCTGCTCTCTGCAAAAAGCACTGCCCCACAGCAAAGCCGATTCCCAGGGAACGCACTGCCCTATTCATGCCCCCAGGACTCCTCAGACACCCCCAAATAAGCAACACTGTACTGGGACTTCTGTGGCCCAGATTCTCCTCACTGCCTGAAATAAGCAGTGACATTTGCTCATGTTTTCCCTCATTTTCAGTGGAAATTTTTGATCTGTTGACAAGGAAACACACAGATCATTCCTGATTCTCTCTTCATAGAACCGAGTAGCATTGATATTATTTGTTCACTTGTAGGAAAATAAAAAGGTTCTCTCCAAACAATGCTGTCTCACTCAAAATAGAATTTCCTGAAAAATAATCACCATTTTCATTAAAACCTATTTAATTTTCAACACTTTTCAGCTACCTGACCAATTCCATTAGAAATCCTGATACAAGACTTGCTTAAAAAATACCTTTCCTAGATTTCCCTCTGTAATTTATTTTTTAACATATAAATTCTCCAAAGTATCAGTACTCTAGACTCATCCCAAATGACTATCCCTGTTCCCCGTGTCTTTTAATGTAGGCTCTGCAGATGAGAATACCATAGCAGTTTAGGTAATTGTCAGGAAATCACATCTTTTAGGCAGTTGTAGGTTATGTTTGCACCTAAGTTTGGAAAGTGATATTGTTTCAGTAACAAGTACTCACTTGAGCAGAGCTATGTAATTGAACACCACAGACACGGACATTAAATGGCGAAGTTGATAATCAAATTAGCTCCTTCTGCTATAGTACATAAGTCCAGACATATTCCAAGATTTTCTCACTAAAAAATTACTTGTTTTTCAAGTTGAATGAATTTCAAGTATTAATCATGAAAGAAGATTATGATATTGGCTCCTGGTTACACCAGAGCAATACTGTGAAATGAAAACTTATACATGCAAGAGAGGGTAAGATTTTCTCTTAATGTATCTATTTATGCAGAATTATCCAATCCAATCCTAGTGACATGATAGGCATCCTTAAATAACTATTGATCAATCAAATAGAAAGTCAGTCAATAAATTCAGAGTGATCACCTACTGTTTTATTCATAATAATTCTTCCTACTCTCTCTTAGTAGCTATTTCTTTCTTCCCCCCACATTACCTTTTACATCTTTCCTCATGGGCTATGTTATTTATCTCTTTTGCCTGGTAACAAGTGCCAGTCTTTTCAAACTCTCTTCAACAGATAAAATTTTCAAGCGTAAGATCACTCTCATTTTTTTTATTTGTACTGCAATTCTGAAAGATCCTTTCAGAAGTGCTGCACAACAGGAATTGTTGATTTATAATGGCTTTATAATATCTTCTGTGTTCTTCTTTCCCCTATCAATTATGGATCATAGTATCATGTTTGCTTCAAGTGCAGTTACACAAGTTAATGCTCCCCAGGAATCTTACAGTACAAGCCTGATTATCAACTTGGTTAGAATGGATATTCACTAGTAAATAACTCTATGCAGATAATCTAAGACATTGATATCAACAGCTGGAATTCATCTTCCCTAATTTTAACTGTCAAAAATTTTGGGGTATTCACTAAGCTCTGCTTAGGCTCCTTCTAATATTAATGAGAAAGGCATACTCAAAGAGAGACCTAGCTCATGTTGAAATAGGTGAAATAAGAGATAAATTGCCCCTGAAGGTTTCGATCTCTCTCATTTTAGAGGAACACTGCCTACAGATTTTGAATAAAAATCTACTGGTTTAATGACAAAAGTTTAAAAAAAAAAGCTCCTCTCTCCACTCCAAGACATTAATTCTGATTTGCTCCAGAACAGACATATCAGAACTCATGCACCAATGCTTTATGCAGCTATTAAACCTCACCAAGTTCTTAACATTTAATTTGATATTTATTTATTCATCTCTGTCTAATATTTAAAATTCTAAAGACCTGGCTCCTACACTTCTGTCCAAGATTACCCAGACTGAACAACATACTGAGACATTGCAAGCAGTCAATCTGACACATCCCATAATAGGCAGCAATACCACATGGTTTGTGAGACTAACACATCCCAGGACCTATCAGCACCCCTACACACATACCAAGGAAACACTCTGCACAGCCCATTGACCATATCCTGGATTTAACACACCTTCAGCTCAGAGTGTGCTGGGAATCTGAAGTGCCCGCGTGTCACTCGAGCTCTGCGTGGGCTCAATCCCTGCCCAGCATCTGCAGCCACTTACAGCAGGCAGAAACCCTGCCAGTGTGACACAAAACACAGGGAAAGGGATAGACAGCCTGGGCATGGAGAGTCTCCTGCCCAAAGCAGCAGCAATGTTCTGTGTGTATATTTAACAGCTTTGTAAAGTGTGGGGATGTGTTTTTCAATTCAAACACCCATTAAGCTATAATAAAACCTTGCTAAGAATACTCAAGACACTTGAGTATTACATATACATACATGTTTGTACACACACACACATTTTTTTTTAACTTGAAGCTTTTAGAAGCTAATAGCCTGAGCTGCTCACTTCTGATTTGAGGCAGAGGAACACACACACCAGCCCCACGTCCTCACTGTGAGATCAAGATTCTAAACAGAGTGGCCTTGTTTTAACACAGATGAGAGCTGTGGAGTGAGAAACATCTGTAAGGCCTCATGCTTAAAGAGCTGGATGTTCCAACACCCTTAGCCACAGACATAAACCACCACATTAAGAGAGTCTCCCTAAAATACTCCTTGGTGAGCAGAGCATTTATCGATTGGAAAGCCATTGCTTTTAGTCAAATCATGACTTAGTAAGTAGCAAAAACTGAATTCACAATGTTTTCTAGCAGTGGATCTCCACTGTGGCCAAAGGAAGCAGTAGCAGACTGGGTTTCATGGGGGATTGAAGGGAACTGTGGCTCCCATTGCAGTAGGTCATCTCTAGAGCAGCACACTCCCCTACTTTCAGAAGAAGTCTGCCAATGTTGCTCAAATGCATGCAGTTTTCATACTGCAGTCCTCCTAGGCCACAGGGATACAGTCTTCCACCTAATCCCAGCACAAATTTATCAGTCTTCCCTTTTATAAGAAAGTCTGACAATAAACACAGCAAATCTTTCTCATAATTTGGATACAGTCAAGAAAAATGCTCACTCAAGGAAATAAAATAGGAGCTTAATATAACCCAGTCTTATTCGAAATGGGAAGCATGTGTCTTTTTTGTACCACCTGAATCCAGTCTTCATCTCATTTTATTCCCCCTGCATCACCATGTCTGTAATTTCTGTGTCTCCTGAGCTTCCTACAATCTGGAATCACCGCAGCCTGGCCCTCAGTTTTCAACCAAATGGTACATCCTCAGGAAGTGTTCTTCCAGACCGTACTATTCATTCTCAGGCTTCCACAGACACAAAATTTAGAGAGATGGCCCTGTTCCATCCAATCCATGGATTCTCAAAAAATCTCGAAAACACGTAGTTTCTCATTCAATTTCTGACACTTTCTCCTCATTTCCAGAATTATCACCAACTGACAAATTTAAAGACTAATCACTTTGAAGTTGCCCTGTAAGAACTTTCCTCAATTTTTCTGCTTTTTTACCTCCTACTACAAATTTTGGTTCACTCTATTAGCATTATTTGACTGTCAAATCAGCATAAACCTTTCCAATTGCTAAAATAGTCATTCATACCTTTCCTTTGTTCTTTTCTGTTCTCCCAAATTCATTTCTAGTTCCTTTGGATTTTAGAATTAGCCACACAAATAGCAAGTTGTGAAATTCATGGACTCTTAATGAACAAACTTTAAAAATATATGATTCAAGGCAAGTGATGAGCAGCGAGATCAAGTGCTGTATCCCTCCCAGACTGCAGAGCCAATGGGATGAACTCCCAGCTCTTAAGAACTGCAGTCCCATGTTCTTATCCTAAGAATATCCTAAGAATATACCCTAAGAAGAAATACCTTGTGCAGGCAGAATTGATATGCCATTTGTATGAAGCCAATGTACCTGGATGAAGATGTATTCATCCTGAACAACCAGGGAGCTGACATCGATGGAGCGTGAGAAGGGCCCGCTCCTCTTGGTCTCGGAGCACTCCTGGATCCGGCAGGTCAAATAGTGTGTGTCTGCAATGGGAGCATAGGGACACATCAGAAATGCCCAGGTAGGGGTCACTTGTCTGTAAACACCATCAGCAGCTCCAAAGAAGGTCGTATCTCCATCTAGGGAGATGTTATTTCAGAATCTGCCTGCAGTCTCTGACACTTGTAACTGCTCTCTGAAGTTAGGAATTCACCACACTTTGGCATTCCCCATTCCCTTCCCTGTTGTGCAGACATCCCTCAGGAGACTGAAGTTCAAAATGCCCCATAAATGGAGGGTACCAACCATAAATGCATCAGAAAGCTGCTGATGAGACCCAATAGAGCAGAGGCTACCCTGGGTAGAATTCACCAATTCCTATACCCTTCTGGAAATCATAGCCCTGTCTTCCCTCTGAAACCCACTAGCCTTGTTGACTGGTTTTAATTGTGGCAGTAAAACACAAAAAGGAAAAAAAAAAAAAAGCCTAAATCAACACTATTAAATTTAACTTATTTTTCTGTGAAAATCACAAGCGTCTCCCAAAATTAAGTCTTTATAGCAAACATAGACTCGGAATGAAAATGCCACGGCCATGAAATAGCATGAGTGGCTGAAGATTCCTAACAGCAGTTATATGCACTGCAAGAAGCATCAAATGCATCTGTCTAGAGAGAACAGAGGACCATCACACTAATGGGATCCTGTCAGGCCTTGATATTGCTTGAGAGGAGGAACAGGACTGGGAGAAGAACATGAAAACAACAGAAGGAAAAGGCAGATATGCAGAAAGTCAGAACAAGAAGAGATGTGCTCACCTCCAGCAAGTTGAGAGAGGTTATAGGGGATTAAGCATTATTTCAGTCAGGCTAAGAAAAGGCCTCATGAAACAGCACAATGAATGCACTGTGTTTCTGGATGTGTGTAATCTAAATATGCCATCTCTGCTTTTCAACTGCTCTTCTGAAAACTGCAAATTAGGAAGAAAATAAAAATACTACTAAGATGACAGCTGGAGTGATAAAAGGGTCACATCTTTTGCACTCTGGCACTTTTACAGGCCTCTTAGATTCAAATGCTTCTTTGCTTTTCTACAAAGGGTGAGGACAGAACATCAATGAAGTAAACAGCAAGTTTGTAAGGGCTGGGGTGAGCCTGGTGCAGTGATTTTAGTTCACAACAGGACTTTCTGACATGGACCTTCTCAAACTGAGCCCAAAATGATAAAAGAGAAGTTTAAAAAGACAGTCACTAGCCCAGCAAAGCTGCTTATAGGATTCTCTATCACAAAAAACCTGCCTTGTCCTTGGTCTGTATCCTTACAGTGACAGCAATATGTGGGGCAGTGGAAAGTTCTAGGGGGCACAACTGAAATCCTCTGAGATTCAGCCAACTGCCTTCCCAAATTCTAAAACAAGTTTCACAGACTGAGAGTTTCTTCTTTTACAGTCTTGTCCCAGCAACACTCTTAAAAATGCAAAAAGAATGCAAGTCAGAGGCATTACTAATTGGACTAATAATTTCTAAAATATTTTGTCTAAAAGAGTCACAAAGTACAGCAAAGCTTTAATCTAATGAAGGTCCATGCCCAACCACCCAGTGAGTGAAGGCCCCTGTTTAAAGGCTGCAGACCTGGTTCTGGGTTGATGCACCAGGGATTCCAGGTTAATAAGGGCTGAGTCAGAGCAGTCACACAGGTCTGGTGCAGTAATGAAATCCTAGTCCCACTGAGGATGCTAAAGCAGCAGAAAATGTTGCTGGTGCCAGCTCAGAGTACTGGGTAGTGATTAAAGTGTATGGTGAAAAACACCTGACCTACAGACAGCGCCAATAACCAGAGTATCAGAGCTGTGCTTTCTCCCAGCATAAAATTCCAGCAGCAGCAGCAGAGAGGTCAGACTTTCAGTTGGCATAAATTAAAGTTCTTCATCAGCTGATATACACACACTTGGCCCAGAGCTGCTATTTAGCTCCTCAGTGTGGAACCTAAGACAACCTTGCAGTGGATAAAAGCAACTTCTCAGAAAACAAGAGGCTCTCATGTGCTGCCATGCTATCCAAAGAGATCAACAGCAGTGACTTGCTCTTTGAGGTAGCTCTAAAATTAGGCAGAACAAGGAGGAGAGGTCAGGAGTTGTATTTTTAGAAGCTCATTCCCTCCAGTACGTTCTCCCACACAGTCGCCTGGATATTCTTATCCTTCCAAAAAGGGGATAATTTGCTGCTGCTGAGTGACAGAATGGGAAGAGGAATAAAAACCTGTCACAAATAAATGCCGATAAATCACAAGTGTTGACATGACAACGAGCTTCCTGCCTATTGGGAAATGTGTCATTTTGAGTGTGTTACACCAGCAATCAAATATACTCAAAGGATGGCACCTGATTAATATTCACAAGGAGATGGTGGTGGAGAAGGGGGGTAACTCACTGCCCGTTCTCCATTTAGTCACTTGTTTTATTTATTTTCATATATCTTACAATACATGCCTATTAAAAAAAAAAACCAAAAAAACAAGAAAACACAGAAACAAATAAAATATCTTTAAACCTCTCTGCTTTAAGATACTAGATAAAGCTAAGTCTTGGTTTTTTCCTGCTTCCCCAAAGGGGTAACTCACTGCCCATTCTCCATTTAGTCTCTTGTTTTATTTATTTTCATATATTTTACAATACAAGCCTATAAAAAAAAAAACCAAGAAAACACAGAAACAAATAAAATATCTTTAAACCTCTCTGCTTTAAGATACTAGATAAAGCTAAGTCTTGGTTTTTTCCTGCTTCCCCAAATAACTTTTTTTTTTTTTAATCCCTTTAAAATACATTAAAAATCAGGTAAAAATATAGCAGCACCCAGCTCTGTTCCCATTTGTGTGAGACTCAAAGTGAGAAACAATCTCAAGGCCCTGCTCAAGCTTCTAAAAGGGTGACATTCACAGAGCACATCTTCTCACACAGAAAGAACAGGGTCTCTCAACAAAAGCTTCCATTAAGAGAGAAGAGGCCATCCTAACTTCCAGGCTATTATCAGCCTCTCCTCCAGAATGAGGTAATTTTGCACCCCCATTTTGGGCAGCCACAAGGTAGAAGGACATTCACCGAGAGGGCCAGGTGACATGAGACTAAGCCATGCTTCCAAATCCTTGCTTACCTTTCACTGGGGGTGTATTGCCTAAGGGAGGTTGTTTCTGTCTGGGCACTACTTCTAATTCATATATTGTCCTATACAACACCAGAATTAAAGGGTTTGGGTGTTTTGGTTTTCAGGGTTCTTTTAGCGGGTTGAATTTTTTGTTACTTTTGGCATTTTTATAATGTCCCACTGCAAAAGGAGTTGAGAAGGGCTCCCTACTTCCCAGGCAACATTAAAAATTTCTATGCTTATAAGCAACTCTAACCACTTTCTCAGCTCATCTGTGAATGAGGCAATATGGACATCAAGCAGCCTGGAGGGCTTGCTGCAGCTCAAATCCCAGCATCCATGCCTCCACACAAACCCTTCCCACCTCACTTAGGATTAGGGAATGGCTTTCACAGATGTACAGCCATTTTCCAGCTGAGGAGCCTGAACCACCTCCTCATTGCTATTTAACACAGTCTTCCATCTTGAGATTCTGGAGTGTATTTTTACCCTTTTTGAAGTGACAAAATGGAAACAATTTCTTGAAATTGGAAGGGACAAACTGGTGAAATAAGCCAAGCTACCATGTCTCATATTTTCCTGCCAGCCATGCCAGCTTTGGCAGGAAGCAGGAGCACAAGAGGCTCTCTCCCCAGCAGTGTGGGTCTCTGTAGGGAGGCAGTGAAACAGTCAAAGCTGTTGTGCTGAAGGCTGCAAAGGGCCAGCCTGTGTGCAGGTGACTGTGACTTAGACACAGGACAGCAAGTCCTGTCTCCCTCCTGGGATAGCTGTCCAGCACGGCTAGTAGGGAAAAGGGCAGTTGATAGAGACAAGTTGAATTGGAAGATTGGCTCAGCTTAAATCAGGCCCTGGTGTCAGGCAAGATTTAAAATCATAACATCATGAAGGTTTCTATGAGAGGGAGAAAAAACTCACTGGCCACGAAAATCTTTCCCCCAATGAAAAAGACATGTAGACTCTCCAGAAATTAGTTACCCTGTTTTATCCTTTTGGTTAGCTTTTCTCCCCCTCTTTTTCCTATAATTCAAATCCTGTTTATTGCAGTGTGTTTGTGAATGGCGTGAAGATTAACTCACTGAACATCAGAAAGTTCAATATATCCTTCCCAGGAATGCTGGTGGGTGCTTGTGTCAGTGTGATCATAATAGCACCCTTGCATCCAGCCCTGTCCTTGCTGCTGCCTGTTACACTCTGGCAGAAGGCACAATGCCCAAGGCTCCTACATGTTTTACAATTTAAAAATGCAAGCCTGGATTATTATTCTGCTACAATGACTCTGCCAAGATGTCAAAAAAATGTGAAAAACTTCATCTGCTACGAAAGATGCGAACAGCTTGAGATAAGATAGGCACTGGAATTATCAGCATCTTGCAGTATTTAAGGAGACTAGGCACAGGGGCAGGTGGGTTTTTCAGAGACACAACCATTCCTAATGACTGGACAGACAAAACCACATGGCAAGATATCTTGAAGGACAGTCACCAGAGAGGTGAACAGGACTGCCAGCTCCCAGATCCATAAGCTTATTGATCCATAAGCCCTGACTCATTTATGGACAAATGAGATTCCAGTATGCCCCACCACCTGTTCCCAGCTCCAGAGCTCCTTTTAGGCTCCAGTTCTGAATTGGTATTAGATAGGTTCTTGAGTCCCATTAATGCCAAAGGAAAAAAAAAATTAAAAAAATTTAGAAATCATCAAATTCAGAAGTCTAGTCCTAAATAGCACTTCCATTCCTTTCCCTCCCTTCTCTGCTGCTTTTACTCACTTTTTTTTTTTTTTAATTTTACTTAAAAACATGGAGGCAAACAGAAGACGAGGAAAGAAAAATGCCCAGCCTAGAAGAATCATGTATTTTTCAAGCAGCCAGTGATATTGAAGGCATGGATTCTTCTATCTGAATTAAGCTAAGCAATGGGAATACTTAAATCTATGTCTGTTAATGCATCAAAGTGACTGAGCCACCAGACTGACCTAAAACAGGCATTAGAGAAGTCTTTCCTTCCTTCTGCATAATACTGAGGAAGACTTTTATGAGAAGCTTTCTGATCAAGAGGAAGTAACTGCAGGGCCCCGTTTTCCAGCACGTGTAGGTGCCTCAGCTATTTCACTGAGCACATGAAGGCCCGATTTGGTTGCAGAACTAACTGGGAGAAAAGGTCAGTGCCCCATTCCTGAGCACCCAGAGCTGAACAACAGAGCACTGGGGAAGTCTGTAGCTGTGAGGCTGTCGCTGCTTTATAACACAAACAAATATTGATTTTAGCCTTAGAACCTCCAATTGGAGCAGCACTGTACTTTTGTGCTGTGCTGGGAGAGGAGTCCTTTGGTACAGGCCAGCAGGGCCAGCACAGCCCAGCAGGTCTGGGATGGCAGCTGCAGTGGGGCTGTTTTGCTGACACTACTGGCCAAGCCTGGCTTCCAGTGAAACCCTCAACACCATCAGCTGCCAGTTTCAAAATGCTGAATTTATATATTAAAACAAGAACAAAGAGCAAACCCCTGAGCAAACAAGACCTGAAGGAAGAGAGCTGTCTTTAAGCTGGGGATACATCTTTCAAACGTTTACATCCTTGACATATCCAATATTCAAATAGCTGGGTGAGCAAGTTTAAACTTAGTTTCAAAACAGACTCCATCAGCACTTTGCTTGCTTGGGACTTTTTATTTGCATTTGACCACTTCTCCCATCATACCTGCAACAGTAAACACAGCAGCAAAGGCACTGAAGATGCCTCCCTACCCTGTCCACCCACCTGTCGGCCTGTTTTGCTTTTTCCACAAATTCAACAAACAGCTGTCACCCCTGAGCTGTTATTGCCTGGTTATTTATTCAGCTGCCATCACTAAATAGCAGTGGGAGGCCAGTGAGAAATATTAGAACATCCACAAGCTCAGAGAAGCCATCTTGATAGACAGGAGTTTGTTCACACATCTGGCCTACGCAGCACTTGACTAAAACAGAGAAAAGTTTGCAACCAACAAAAATGAGGCTTTTTTTTCCCCAGAAATCCTCTAACTCCTCAATGCTATGTTGTTTTTCTATACTGTCCCTGCACCAAAATGGGACACTTGTTCCGTCGCTCCCATTCCCTCACACTGGAGTAAAGTTCCACACACGGAGAAGATGTATTACTATGCTGCAGTTCCTGTGAGAAATATCTAAAACACTTTGGAGAGAGTAAGTCAACTTACTTCTAATACCATGTCTTTGCTGGAGACTGACTACGTAGGAATCCATTCCACTGCAAATGTGACTAGATTTATTTCCGTGAGGGGTTAAGAAATTTTTTTCCTATTTCCTTCTTCAGACCCAGGCACATTTCAAGCCTGTAATGTGTTGGTACGGAACACCTATTCATACACTATGAGCAAAACTACAAAATACTTTCAATACAAGACAAAGGGGCATAGGAACATTCTGGCCAGAGGGCAAGTCTGACTGCAGGTAATTTCTCAGATTCTCAGGTACCACCTAGCTGTTCTGAGCACCTCTGGAAATGCACAGAGGTTCCATGGTACAGTGCTGGTTGCCCAGCTCTTTATGATTGACATAAACTATGTGATACTGAAACAGCTAAACAGGGAACAGGATAGATGGGTTCTTAGCCCAACAGACTGTGCTTCTGTCCACCCCCTCCACAGATACAAGCCCTGCAGCCCATGACTTTCCCCTACAGGCTCAGGATAAGAACATCACATGAAACCCCATGACCCACATCTCCCCTGCCAATTAAAAGTAAATGGAGATGTAACATGGGTAAAGTGGATTCTCATTCCCACTCCATTCTTGGCTCAAAGCCCAGTTTTTAGCACTGGCTGCAGGCACTCACGTCCATCAGCTGTCCGGGCTTCCATGTGCACAAGGTCAGGTTCTTTATCCAAACCAGCCACTGACCTGGGAGGAGAGAGAGAGAGGACAGTCAGTTGGCTGAAAGGCTGCTATCAGACAGAGCTGGGGAAGGAACACAAAACTAGTTTAAACCTACCTTGGGACACCTGGTATGTAGGTCTCCACCTTTTAATGACTCGTCTCCTTTGTATTTCCACACAGACCATGCTCAGGGTCCCTACACCAACCTTCCCAGGCATGGGAGAGTGATCCTGCCTGTCCCTTGTCTACAAGATCAAGGCTACTATGACTGTTCTAGTGATAGCAAAGAGAGCTGGTCCTGAGACCCAATAAAATTAGAGTTTTGTTTTAAGAGCACAGCAGCCTCATGACTTCAGAAAGCAAATTAAAAGGAGGTTTTATTTGGCTGATTAGAAACATGAAAGACTAAGTTCACTGATTTGTCCCTGGTTTGCTGGGCAATCTTGCTATTCTTTATCTCCTTTTCCCCATCTTCAGAAGAAAAACAGTGTTACACATATGGTGAACTTCTGATTTTAAAAAGATGAGAAAGTATTCATTATTCACACCATGATCCCGTGCCATCAATGGTCCTTGACAATTATGAAAAGAGGCACAAGGAGTTTTTTAATCTCACTAGCTGGAACTTATGCAACCCAAGTCAAATCTTCCTATGCATTGTTGTTTACTCCCTAAAAATATTTTTCGAAGCACATTAAAAAGATACTTTTCCTCCTGGAAGAGGGAAAGTCAAGTCCAGAACAGAAATGTTATTATTAGTGTCCTGGCTGATAAGAATCACTGAGAGATGAACATTTAGTCCTAGCAATGGCTGGCAGGGGAAAAAAAAATCCATAGATGTCCATGAGATTTATGGTGCTGCTTCTCCTGAGTTAACCAAAGGGTTAGATTAAAAAGGGACAATGACAAAAATCAGTTTCTAATTCGGTGGGAGTTGAATTTGATACAGTAGATTGTAAATAATAGATTCCCTTTGAGCCAGCCAATGTTCAGAATTCCCTAATGTTCTGAAAATATTTTTATCACATTCTTTTGCCGTTTTCATCCTTGGGGCATCAACAGCAAAAACAGTAAAAATAATAATAATAATAATTTTAAAAATACAGATGCTCTAATACATTTTTGTGAATCCCACAAAAAACAGAGCAACCGAAGCAATGACAAACATATAAATGTGCTGGAGTTCAGCTACGATCAGGCAGTGCTGCAAATGTCAAAATAACTACATTATGACCCACTGTGCAGGTAACAGAAACTGGCACTGCTTGTTAACGAGAGCACCACATCGATAGCAAGTCCATTCACAACGCTCTGAATTGTGGCCAAAAGATACCAACACAACAAAACAAAGCAGCACAGGCAGGGCTTTCATCATTCCACTCACAGTGAGAAACAGTCTGCTCCTTAATTGCTACCATCAGTTTCAGGGTGATCCCACAAGGAAGAAGGGCTGTCTGTTATTGGTAAGGATGCCAGAATGAGCCTGAGTTCCTGTGATCACACAATTATTGGGATCAAAGCTTCCCAATATATGGACACGGTTAAAAGTGACAGTAGGATACACAGAAATTCCTTTAAATATCAGTGAAAAACATTACAGTGTGCTGCAGTATTAGTCCCCAATGTCTATAGAAAGCAATCTTTCTAGTTCACAGCAGAGGTTTTCTGCCCTGTTTCAAATGAGTAGCAGTAACTGCTGTAATTTCAGTCATTCAATAACAATCACCCTTGTCTATGACATGCCAATAGAAACAGATGTACATGCTTACCATCATATCTATTCATCACAAATTAATGAAATGGAGTGGTAATTCCAGCACTTGGAGGGAAAGGTTGGGAACACTTTAGGGACTTGCCCTGCAGCCCTTACCAACAGGTTTCCTACTTAAATTCAGCTTTAAATGCACTCTCCTGGCATCCGTCCTTCTGGAAGGTTCCTACTCAGAGCCATTTGCTGTGTCCTGACACACATCTGACAGTGTCAGATGGCTTCACCTGGGCCCCTGACATCCTCTGGGCCTCTCCCCTCCAGATGGAGGGGGCACTGTATCTCCCCCTGCAGCAACGTGGCAATACTGTTCGGCCCAGGTAAAAAGAGACATCAGTCTGCCACAGTACTATTCATTTTAAAAGGGATTGCAAGTAGAAGAACCTAAGTATATCCTAACAAAATCCAGAATACTCATTACCATTGTGCATTTGCATGCACGAGCTCTGTGGATCTATTCATAATGCCTTTCAAGCGTGCACCAGGGAATGAGAGGGATCCCCTGAAACATGTCATTCTAGCTTGAAGTTCCTTTCCAGTGCCATCTACTTGTTCCCTTAATTAGTTTTGACAAGCCTAATGGTTCTTTTCAGAATAACAATGATGACAGAAAAGGACTAGCACACAGCACACCTCTAGTACTCCTCTGTTCACCAAATAGTGCACTACAAGTTGAAAAGCTCACAAAGTGTTCCGCAACACAAAAGCAAGACAGGCTGCTCTATCTGCAGACAGATAAAGCTCAAAAGTGATGCACTGGTCAACCTTCCTTCACTCAAACCAAGCTGCTTTCTTATACCAATGACTGATTGCAAAACATATCCCCAATCAATGCTGGTTCTTCATGCCTCACCTCAGATCTGTTCCCACTGGCAAGGAACAGAGCTTTGCTTTGCATTGCTCTGACTCTTGAATTTAGGTATTTTTAGCAAATGGTCTCTCATCATTTTTCTGGAGGGGCTTTACATGAAGAATTCAAAAAAGTCATCAGTGGAAAGAGCAAGATCCTGAAGCACAGCTGCAAAAACACACACACAGACTCTAAAGCTATTCCTTTATGCAGTTGTAATTCTCTAGCCTTGAGAACTCACTACAACAACCTCACTGGTCTGGCAATACAGGAGCAGTAACAAAACAAGAAGAGACACTTTCACAGCCTTGTATTTTCTTACACTCTGAAGAACATTTGGAGGATACACTGCTCAATATTATTTAAGCAAATAAAGCATGTTGAGGAGAGATGTCGGCATTCCCTGACTTATACAACCAAGTGCAGCCCACAGAGTGTGGTGTCTGGGAAAGGCTTTCATGGTGGTCTAGCTAACAACCCTGTCCAGCAGCTTATAAAGACAAGAGTATTTAACACTCAGGAGCCTGAGGTCCTGACCCATGGTCACACAGATCCGTACAAAATTTAAACCAAGGTTCACAAAATGCACCCATGCGTGCTGCTGTCTTGGATGGCCACAGGGAGTAAAATAAGGCACCCTCACTGTGAGGAACTGAGCTAAATTAACATCCTCCACCACCCCTATTCATTAATCACCCCTTGCATGACAAAATGCTGAGAGCATGCAGGCAGTAGTGACAGGAAAGGTCAGTTTTTCCTGCTGACACTTTCCCCAACTGCTGCAAAAGCAGTTTTCAAAATGTGGAGCCTGCAGCCAGAATTGCAGCAGGCACAGGATCATTTTCCAATTAAGAATTCAAACTACCTTTGAGTTCCATTAAAAGGAAGGATTGTTACTTTTTTGGTATCTTCTGCTGCTGCTGTTCCTTTCTGTTTTCATGGTAGCTCTTGATTTTCACAAGGTCTTTCCTCTCTTCTTTTCAGAAGAGAATCGTGTGCTCTTGAAGGATGGACATGATCCTGGCAAGATCCTTATCTCTGTCCTGAGGGAAGAGCATTGTGCAAGGATGCACATTTACTAGGCCACTCTGCTAATATTTCATCTCTGGAAGGGAGAGCAGCCAGTAAGGGCATGGAAAACACAATATTCTGCACTTTAACTATTCCTGAAGTGTTTCCTTGTAGTTTCCAACTGCAAGGTGTTGTATACTTCAAAATAAAAAATGCCAACACATGCAAAGAAAGGAAAAAAGAAAAACAGAGACTCTTCAGGTTACCTGCCTACTGCACGCCCCAGTTCACTTTTTCTACCAACTCTAATGCCCTTCCATGGAATAAACAATTTTTGCATTTTTTTCTACCTATTTTGCATTACCCACCAGGCATTTAAAGGTGAAAAGAAGAACTGACATATGTCTCCTCTAGTATTTTAAATGAAAACAGCTGAGCAATTCCAACTGCCCCTGTTGATCCTTGCTCCCTAAACCATCAATTGAGAGTAAGAGATGCTCTATTCCTCTATCTCCTGGTCCCAAGAGTTTTGGAGGTTTGAGTGAGCATCACTGAATGTGAGCAGTATTTATGTTTGGGATTTACAGCAAGCTAAAAGCCAAAATTCAGGCTACAGGAGCCAGCCTTTCAAACTGGATCTGGAACCTGCTGGACTGAGCTTTTTGCCAGGGGTGAGTCTAGTTTCTGACCAGTCAAGGTGGCATTCACCAGCTTTGGAAACGAGATCAAAACTTTTACAACAAACTGAGACTCCCAAGGTGCTGACTTGAAAACTCATTTTTGCAGGTTAAGACATCAGACTGAAGGCAATTGACAGTGTCCATGTAAAGAGACAGAGGAAACAGATGGATACTACCTAGCAGGATGTTGTACAGTAAATAAGGGCTAAAAACATCAAGGAAAAAGACATATTTATTGTACAATAATATGTAAAGGAGGAAAAACTCCTCCTCTTGCTGCAGGCAAGTGCAGTTAAATTAGTGAATGCTGCCAATTAGTCTGATGTAATTTTAATTCTATCCTGCTCCAGAAGTGAGTAAACACTTTAGTGTCATACCAGAGAAGCGCTGCGTATTTCTAACTCATCCAAGCAACACAAGGGCCATGCCCATGTGCATATAGGGAAGCAGGAACTAATTCATTCAATTCCCACTCAACTGACCTGGAGTTTTCCACAAGGCTCAATGACACCTACCTTTCCAACAGTCTTCTCCTCTATCTGATACTGCATCATATGTGTCTAGGTATCAATAGCTGCAGTTGGCAAAGCCAATTTATGTATTAATTGGTCTAAAATCACCCCCAGAAGACATTAACTCTGGGCATGTAACAGCCCCATACACCCAACCTGCACACAACCCTGGGCCAACCACCATAAACTACCATAGTTAAGAG